AGGAGGGAGAGAGAGGAGGGAGAGAGAGGAGGGAGAGAGAGGAGGGAGAGAGAGGAGGGAGAGATAGGAGGGAGAGAGATAGAGGGAGAGAGATAGAGATAGAGAGAGAGATAGAGATCTCTATAATATATATAAAAAAGTCAAAACTGTTATAGTTTTAGATAGGAGTAAGAAATGGTTAAGGATTAAGGAGGAACTCCAGCTATTAGCAAAATGAACCCCTGCAGTGGGGCTACTACACAGGTTAGCTGCTTGTTTTGATCTAGGGGCCAGAATTCAGAAGATACACTCACCCGAACGTCAGTCCTGTGGCAGTGACCACTCACCTCTTTCCTCTCCGGCTATGTCCCTCGGCATCCTCAAGTCTAATCCAATGGATCTGCATTAGACGTGATTACATCAGCGAGTCTTAGACTGCCGGAGCACAGGGGAGAAGAGGCTGAGGAGGCGATAGTAGACTGGTGGGAAGGAGGATGAGGTATTTCTTCTTGGATCCAGCTCCTAGACCAAAATGAGCAGTTATCCCTTGCAAAGAGGGGATAGCCCCACTGCAAAAGTTAATGTTTTTTACTTCCTGGAGTCCCTCTTTAAAGCCCATCACCAGAACAGATGTCTCTATTGGAAAGTTTCTCCTCATCTCCTATTCCAGCAACAGTTGTATTATTTTGCTTTTCCCATCATTTTCAGTCTCGATGACAATGGTCACTAAGACAAATAGAAGGATAAATCTCCCCAGTGATGAAACAGGCAGTAATAAAAACCCCAAAGGAGGTGAACCCTAATTTAAAAATACAAAATTTAAAAATGGCTTTAAATACCCTTTAACAAAAATAGTTCTGTTTGTTCCTAACGTGACCCTATCACTATAACAAATAATTAAATAAACCCATACTTGCAAAAAAAATAATAATCTGTAAATCCTTCCTGCTGCCTACACTGCCAAACACTTGTCTGACCTTAGAAATCTTAACGTATAACCCTATAAACATCTCCTATTTGGGCTCTTTAGGTCGAGCAAATATGCAAATGTTTGGCAAGTTCTAAAAATACCCATTGATCCTGCCAAAAATCTTGTCAGCTAACTTCCTGTGTTCTCTGCATCTGCTGCACTCTTATCACAGTGCCCCCCACTCATGTTATGGAAATGAGAAGGGGGAAGTGCTCTGTAGTCCTAACACACTTTCTTCCTAGGGTTGCAACACTGCTACTCCATAGATACAGCACAGTGAGTGAGTGTAGTCACCCTAGGACAGGAAATATGTTACTGGCAGGATCACCAAGTGAAAAAGAAAAAAAAAAAGCAGGCACAACATCTAAGGACTGGTAAGCTGCGAGAGGTTATAGCTTTAGTTCTGGGTCTAAATATGCTTTAATGGCTATCATAAAGGGGCTAGCAAGCCCAACAGCTGTGAGCTTGCCCTGACTGCAGTGCCAGAAGATGGGCACTTTTACTGCTTTCATTCAACTATCTCTTAGTCCAGGGGTCCTAAAACGTGCTAAACAAAAGCCCAGTTCACTCTCCTACAGACATTAAGCCTCATAGTTCTAGCCGACCTGTGACAATGAAACTGTCACAGGTCGGCTCAATAGAACGGAAGGTGAGCGAACACATACCTGCGTTCGCTCACTTCTTGATCTATCCCTGCAGAGAGCCATGACTGTCACTCACGGCTCCCTGCAGGGATTCCCCCCCTCCCCTGTCCGATCCTCCAGCGCTGATTGGCGTAATGGACGGGGCGGGTACAGCTGGCTCTGCCTCTAGATAGGCAGAGCCAGCTGTCACTCACGCTGGATCCAGACATTAATGTCGGGTTTCTTCCCGGCTGAGGCGTCTCAGTATACCGCGAGCTGTAGCTCGCGGTATACTGAGCTTTGGGTGACGGTAGGACGCTAGTTTGTGTCCTCCCGTTACCCTAAGGAGAACTATGGGGAAAAGCCCTGACCCCATAGTTCTACTTTAAAACTCCTGGGAGAGGTGAATCAGATATTACTGAGAAAGTAACTCGAAATGCTTGTAGTAGACAGTAGACTTGTAGTAGCCCTGTAGATAGACACTGTATGCTGGCAGTATTGTAAGTACACAACTGTTGTTTTGTGGAGGTAGACAAAAGGTCCGTTTCCCAGTTAAATTGGGAATTTCATTTGAAAAATAATTTTTGGGAAGGTTCATTCGACTTTGTAGGGGTCAAACCAACAATTGATTTTGACCACCGCAATTTAAAGACTCAAAAGGAGCAGGTTGGAAAACAAACAGAGCAGGGAATGTGGTTTTGCTGGAGACAATCCAAAATAGAACTGTAAAACCAAATGACATTTTGAACGCCATTTGTCTCCGATATTGAAATGTTCTGATGAGATTTTTCATATGAACATTCGTACGCAAATCTCCCAGTGTATGGCCAGCTTTACAAAGGGACCTGAACTGTATCATAAGTGATGTGGAACCTAGAACTCAGGTTGGTGCTTTCTGTTATACTCATTTTTATGTTTGATACCGAGAACGCTGGATGAGTTTAGAACCTAAAATTACTCTGTGGGCTCTCAATGCCTGTACAAAGCCCACCACAGAGGCTATCACCCCGAGAGCCAGTGAAAGCAAAGCTGCTATCATTACCAAATGTATGCATGTATATACTGTATATGAATATGTACAAATGTTCACAATTCTCAAACCTCACAAGGAGGCAGGCTTAAGAACACTGAACAATGTTCAGTCATTGAGGTAATGAATTATATTAAGATGATGTCTGGGGGAGGGGTGAGGAGAAGATGGCAGGGATTAGACAGCGTTCATGCCCCTTGTGTCCTACTGGTGAGCAGAGCATGCCGGTGATGAATACAAGGCACGCTGGCCAGACAATGAGCAGCGCCAAGTGCTTTCACCGAGCAATATTCCGCTGAACAATGACATGGTAACATACTTGCTGGCCTATGGTGCCTATATAACCTGCATTGTTACACAGCAATCTATGTTGTCTTCACTGTTCTCTATGCAGGCGAATTCCTATGCATGTAAACAGAAAATGTTATTCCCGTTTTCCTATCTTCTATAGTGGTGACTGTACTCAGATTTATAACAGTTTAAAACCTCAAAACTGGAATTTTGAGCACAAGAAAATATATATTTTTTTTATAATGTTATGCCAACAAGTCACACAGATCCCTATTGTTATTAAATTCAAATATTAGAACAATGCAGTGTACATCATGAAAAAGCAACCGCAAATATAATATAACCTAATACAAAGTCTCCTAAAGGAAAGTAGAACGGTTTGTGCTGCCTGTAAACACCAATTTCTTCATCTTAGAAAACAGAAACGAGGGACAACCCGGCTACCATGGCCAAAGCAATCAGTAGGTTCAGGCAATTCAGAACAAAATGAGATTGGTGATGAATATCCTAACATATATCTATCTATCTATATATAGATAGATATATGTTCCCCACATTTACATGCAGGCCAAGCTGCTCAGCTAAGGTGACAGTTACCAGGGATGGACAAACCATTATACTGGCAGACCTGAAGGCATTCAAGGGGCAGCTTTTATACCGGGGGTGGACAAACCATTATACTGGCAGACCTGAAGGCATTCAAGGGGCAGCTTTTATACCAGGGGTGGACAAATGAACATGAAATTTAGGAGCCAATATGTCCAATCCACAAGCCAGCAGGGTCTTTTTAGAAGCCAGCTTCATTGACAACAACTAGAGTAAACCTGAACAGTTGTAATCTTTAAGAAGCCTTGGCTACAATGCTCATTTTGGTCTAGGGCATAAAATAAAGAAGATACACTCACCTGATCCTCGGTCCCACAACAGTGACCACTCACCTCTCTTTCCCTCTACTCCAGCTGGGGAATATCCCTTGGCACCCTCACGTCCAATGTAAGTTAATGGAAGGGATGATGTCACAGATCCTTGGACAGCAGGAGCCTGCAGGGCCTGGTCTAGCAGCCAGGTGGGCTCAAGGATCAGGAGAGTATATCTTATTTATTAAAATATTTATTTTATTTTAGACCCTAGACCAAAACAAGCACTTAACCCTTGCATTGCAAGGGTAGCACCACTGAAAGGGTTCTTTTTTTTTTCTTTAATGCCTGGAGTTGTTTCAAACACTACAGCAACTGCCTAAATGTTATTAACTGCAGATGGCTTGAAAAGAGGACTATAGTCCAACCTTTTTTGGCCAATAATTTCTTTAGGAGGACATTAGTAAACGTCCCGTGACCCAAAACTCAGCAGTGCAGGGTTGCACTGCAGCCGGGAAAGATCCCGCCAATATTGTCAGGATCCACCCCCCCATCTTATTGACAGCTCTAGAGGCAGAGCCAGCTGTGCCCGCCCCCTCCTCCATCCATTCCTCCAGTCAATTTTGGAGTAACGGAGAGGGAAGAGGGGGAATCCCAGCAAGTAGCGGTGACTGACAGACACCTCTCTCTGCAGGGAGAAGATCGGGAACTGAGCAATCAGCGGTATGTGATCGCTCAGTTCTCAATCAATTGCTTCCCACCCCACAGGGTGACAATGCTGCTGTCCAAGAGTGGCTCCTCCATAGAGTGGACCCACCCTAAGACAGGAAGTGAGCTACTGGATTTAGGAAAAATCAAAAAAACTGTTAGTTTTTAGCAGAGTAAGGCCCCATTCACACCAGGGCGGTTGCAGATCGTTGCAGATCAGCGTGGTTTCCGCACTGATTTTAAAGGGGCTGTTTTGGGAGTTTTTAATTGCGTTTCAGCACTGAAGCGCAATTAAGAACACCCAAAACCGCAGTGAATTGCACGGTTCCATTGAAAGCTGTATGAAAACCGCACTAAGCGCGGCAAGAAAAGGTCAGGGAGCAATTCAGGTGTGGGGCGGGTAAACGAATAAACGGTCCCCATAGCAATGTATGGGATCATTCATGTTGTGCGGCCAAATCTGTGCGGCCGAACCGCCCGGGTGTGAACAGGACCCTATAGAGGGAATATTCCAACTTCCACTTGCTCCAGGAACTTAGAGGGGAGTTTCCTTACTTTGGAGAGATTTCCTCTCACTTCCTATTGTGTCTACAGGGCAGGAAGTAAAGGGAAATCTCCCACTGGGACCCAGACAACATCTATTCAATGCTAAAAAAAAAAAAACAACTGAGCTTTGGATATACTTTCACATCCACTATTTGACACGCTTAAGCTGGCCATACACGACTTAGCTAGAGAAAATCAATCAATTGACCCATGGAGGATGGAGAGATCTGCACTGCCAGCTATTGTGTTTAGGGTGTGCTGCCGAACCATGACCACATCTGATAGGGTGCAGTCACTGTTTGGGTGGTAATTTTGAACCTGGCTTAGTCAATTTTAAAAGTGGACCTTCACTCTAAACATAAAAGTCTGCGGCATTCTAATCCTCCCCCTACACTTTTATTTTTATGGAGAATTCCTTATTAAATGTACTTTTTTTTTTCCTGCTGGCCCCAAATCCTGACACCATTCTCACCATGGCAAGAATGAGATTTCATCTCCCCCTGCAGCCTCTGGGATACCAACATCACATGTCCCAGGAGTCTGTGAAGGTTCTCATTCATCCAGGTCATGGTATATCTGGTATAAAAAAAAAAAAAAAATCAAAGCAACTGGACTTGCTGTATATTTTTTCTTGAAGACATTTTGCTAGTCATCTGATTAGGTTTCTCAATTCAGAACGCTAGTTAGCTTGAGAAAGCTGGTTGGATGGCCAGCAAAAAGTCTTTAAGAAACAGATACAGCAAGTCCAGTTGCTTTGATTTATGTTTTACAGATGTATTCCAGGAGGCTGTAGGAAGAGAATCCTTTTCATTTATGTAAACAGACTCAGAGCCAGATCTTACACATTCACAGACAGAGATCTGGTGCAGTTTTATGTTGACATAATAAGTCTATAAAAGCATAAACACTATAAATGGAGCAGAGTAATGCCTCCTGGGATATGCAATGTCAGTATTCCAGGAGACATAACTGTCCTTCATTCACAGAACAGTAGGTAAACAAACATGGCACCAGATCTCTGTCTGTGCATACGTGGGACCTGACGCAGCATCATCAGACGGGCCAGGGGGGGGGGGGGGGGGGGTGTCTGATGGA